CATCCCCGGCCTACCCGGGGCCAGGCGGCGGATGGGCCGGGGGGTCGCCATTATTTTATCGCAAGAATACAAGCTCATCACCTCTACCGCGCTCGTCCCCGGGTGTGCCACTGCCGCCACCGTGCGCAAGCAAGACCGCACGCTACGCGTAGTGTCCGTTTATCTCCCGCCGAGCCGGCGATCCGAGGTCCTGGCGGACCTCGCGGACGCCCTCGCCGCCCCTGACGGCGCTCACATGCACTGGGGGGGAGACATCAACATGGAATGGTATGGCCCGCGAGACGGTGAGATCGAGGACGTTGCCGCATGGGTTTCCATGCTGAACAGACACGCATCCCACCCTGCCCCCACTGACGGCCCCACCCGCATCGGGGCTAGTGGCTAGTGGCGAGTCGCAGATCGACACCTTCGCCTGTCCAGCATCGGTGGCAGGATCATACCACATTTCCAAAGCCTGAAAAACGTCACTTTCCGACCATGCACTGATGCATGCTGACCCGCCCTCGCTCCCTGCGGTCAAGATGCGACGTGCTCGCGCCCTGGGCCTACAAAGCGCTCCCGGGAGAAGCGCATGACGACCTACGACGACGCTGCAACATCCTGGAGATGATGTTCCAAATACCGCAAGTGGACCTGACTGGCCTCGTGCAGCCCGGTGACTGGACCAGGCCTGCCCCCCCGGGCCCCCTCCCTGACGAGCATCCTGCTGATGACAGACGCGACCTGAACCATGAAGAAGACAGCCACGACGACCCCACCCCACCCATCGCGGACCGCGCTCCACCCTGGATCGACGCTCTGGCCGAGCACGGGCGCGACGCCCTCAGCGCTATGATCGCGCCCTGGTGGAAATGCTGGGTCAGGCGGCGCCTGGCCCCCATGTTGGGCGCGCAGCTGCGAAGAGCCGCCGCCGGCACCAATACGTTCAGACCGACTGGGCCCTTAGCAGCATGGATGACAAGCGCGGGATGGAGCGGCAACGACTTGTCACCCAGCGAGGCAGCTGCCTGGGAAAACAAATGGCGCGCGGACCAGACCCAACGGCGGGCAGCCCAGCTGACCCCGCGGCAACGTGGCGCGGGCGTGGAAAGGGCCCAGCTCGCCCCGCATTACCGGATTGGTCGGGAAATATTCAAAAATACGCAGTCCTTACAAGGGGTACGAGGACCCGGCGACTGCTGGAACGACACCGCCCCCAGAATGGAGAAGGTCCTTTGGAACGGCCGAGCAAGCATCTGGCAGTCGGTGCCACCCTTACCGCCCGCCCACGCACGCCTCCTGGAATCCTACTTTGCGGGTGGGCGCACGACTCACCTACGGGACCTCCCTGCACCCCGGTGGGGCCGCCTAGCCGCCCTCGTCTTGAACCCTGCAGGAAGCGCACCTGGCATCGACGGCGAACCGTGCGAAGCATACCACCCGGGCTCCAGGTTCGTCGCCTGCCTCCTGGCCCAGGCATGGCACATCGCTCACGCGGGCCCAAGACGCCTCGAGCAAGTCCTCGGCCCGTCCGTTGACCTCCTAGTGTGGATATTGAAGATCCCCGACGCCGAGCGCCCCAACGACCCCTGCAGCTGCCCACCTGCATGCGTCGCCTATTCGGCCCTTCCCTTGCGCACCTGCTTGGGCCACTAATCGAACCGCAGCTCTCAGGAAATCGAGCAGCCAAGCGAGGCGGACAATGCGGGCCCAACATCACTGCGGCTACTGCCACCTCGGCAAAACACCCGCCCTAAGCCCCCCTCCTGGCCCTGCCTGGCATCACTTCTTGGGAGACTACGGCCCTCTGGTAGACACCTACATCAGGGAAGCAGTGGCAGATGCCTCACCATCCACTGCCACGGCGACGTTATTCGCCGACCAGAGTGAAGCGTTCGAGAGACTGTCCCTGCAGTGGGTAGAGGAGCTACTACGGCGCTGGAGGCCCCCAACCTGGCTCAGGCACGCCCTCGTGGCCCTCATCGAGCATGGGCACGTGCAGACGTGCAAATGCACCTACGCTGGACCAAAGAGACGACTACTGCGGTCCATCGGCATGGGAGGAACCGCCTCCCCCCTCATATGGCGCATGGCATACGACCCCGTCATCGAGGCAACGGCGGCCGCAACCGGCGACAGATGCCCCACCTACGTGGGCGACCTCGCCACACTTCTTACCACCGCCGAGCAAGCCCTGCGCACTGCAATCCTGCTTCCGTGGGCCTCGCACATGGCTGGGCTTTGCGTCGACGTCCACACGTGCCAGGTGGCCCGTGCTCCCTACGTCAACGGACAATCTACGACGTGCCTGCGCATCCCTCCCTGTGCGTGTTAAGCGGCGCTCTAGCGGAGCGCATGTGGTGATCGGCCTCACTCCAGAGCTGACAAGGAGGATCCTCACCCACGAACTCGGCCCAAGCGGCACCCAGGACGCCTCGATCTGGCAAGGGGAATGCGCGTGCACGTTCTACACTGCCCTTGTCCCCGCCGCCAATCACGACTGGTGGAAGCGAATCATGGCGCACTCTCCATTCGGCGCGTCATGCGTCAGGTCACAATGGCCGTGCCTAGGCGCAGCAGTGGTCTCACGCACATTGGCTAACGTGGGACCGCCACGGGGGACCATGACGCCCGCGCAAGTGGACGCCATGATCACTGGCACCTGGGGAAAGGCCATGGGTAAGATGCGGACCATGACCCTAACGCTCTATGACGCACGCGCCTCGCCCGGGCGGAGAGCAGCAGCATGGAACGCGTGCGTCGCCCCCCTATCCCCTATCCAGCCCACTACGTGCCCCCGTCCCAACACTAGAGAGGTCCATGACATCCCAACTGCGACTGGCCATGGGACTGGCTGGCACCCACTGGGCGCCCGGCCATCCTCACGGGCCTCGGCTTCATGTTTCAGATACCGGGCTGCCCTAAGTGCCCCGTCGCCCTGGCTCGCAGCATCTCAGAACTAGCGCGCGCACGGGGCGACGTGCGGGGACCCACACCGGCAGAACGAAGGGCACTGACAATGTGGAACAAGCTCGTCAGATGGGCCAACAGCAACCCGGCACCACCCGCCCGGCCCAGAAGAAGGGCCAAGGCCCTCACCCTACCCAAGGCCGCCAGCATCATCATGGCGCACGCAGCACAACCTGACCTGTCAAGGGGGCGACTCCTCGGCCGCGCCCTCTACGCGGCCGCATGGGCCCAACACCACGGGACCAAGGCCAACGACTGGTACGCAAGGGTCAGCCAACGACGGAGGTGGGCCCCAGGACGAGCGTGGGAATGGGACATCCTCGCTCAGGCCGCCGACTTCACCGCTGCTTGCCACATTCTCAAGTTTCTTCCCAACGGCCTCCCCGGACATGCGAGATGGCGTAGCGCTCAGGATCGTTTCCCCCGCCAGTGTAATGAGTGCCAATGCGTGGCCGATCGCGTATGGCATACCGCCTCGGCCCAGTATCGAGGCGTCGCCTGGCGCGACCGACGCCTGGGACACTGGGGGGGTCCTCAAGCGAAGTGGCCGCTGCTCGCCGCCCACACCCGCAATGCGTGCGGCCCAACCTGTGCTACGCCCAGCCCGGCGCCTAGCCCGCGCGGCGCTTGCCCGTTGCGTGTCATGGGAGAGGCCGGCAGCGAGCACCTGTGGGGGTGGTGCCCCGCTGTCGCGCTTGCCTGGACATTGGTGCGTCCTGGAGATGCACCGGACATACTTCCGCAAGCCATCCTCGCCCCACGCGACCACGCACGGACACTTGCCGTCTTCTTGCACCACCAAGTCTCCAATAGATACCACGTTGCGCTTGGCAGGGAACCCCTGGAAGCAGACAACGCAGCGCAACTGATTCGCGCCGGGATGGTGGTTGACCGATCAGGCGACGCCCCCGAGGATGAGGACATAACCGTAAAATATGCCTGGCAACGACTCTGACAGCGTCTGGACGCGCCCAGACACTGCTTGCCAGGAGTGCATGCCGCACGGCGCCCCTCCCTGCGCCATGCATGGGTCCACCACCCTGCACGGCGCGCGGCCGGCCAACAGGGCCGGCGGCGATTGCAGGAGGCTGGCCGCCGCTACGGGCGCTAGCCTGCCCAGCCAGCACCTCCTGCATCTCCAGTCCACCCACGCAGTCGCCGGTTGGCTACTAGCGGGGCCCGGGTGGCTACCCTGCCCCCGCTTCACGGACGACAGCCCTACCGCGTACTGGTCAGGCACCTTCTGCAGGACATGCGCCAGGCACCGCCTGATACTCATCGCCTCCCAATCCATGGAACACGGGTAAGAGGTGAATGTCAGCGACTCCCCCATCCCTGATGAGGACCGGGCTCAATGGCCGCACGAGATCACCTTCGACGGCGGGGCCCGCTCCATTGCCGGAAGGGCGAAAGTGGCTGGAGCCGGCGCCGCGCTATGGCACCGCCCCACCACCGGTGGACCACCCAACAGGATCGCCTCGCGTGCGATCGCCCTTCCCGGTCCCGATAGCGCCCCGGATGTAGGGCAGGGCTTGGCCTGCTGGACGCCACCGGCGGTGCGATGGCCGCCAGAATCGTCGGCGACAACCTCGCCACCGTCCGCTACGGCGCAGGCGCTGGAAGGCACAGAAGACTGCACTTGCGTGCGCACATGGACCAAGGCCTCCGCCGCCGCCCCTTGCCGGCCAAGGGGCGGCGGCTCACGTGGCGGGCCGTGCAGAGACGGCTCAACAAGGCTGCTGACACCCTGGCAACACTCGGGGTGTTTTGGGCCGATAATTTGAAGCAGGAAGGGCACGCCGCCGTCTCAACATGGATCGTCTGGCACGCCAACCCCACTTAAGACGTACCATGCGCCTTTCCCGGCCCCAAACTCGCGGGCCCCCCCGTCTCCGACCTCCCCGCTGCCGTCGAAATGCTCGAGGCCCAGGCCAACAGAAATGACAATGATAAGAGATGCGCCAAACCCCCCCTCTCTGCGCGCGTTCTGGGGGCGCTGTATCTGGGGTTGCGCCTTGTCTCGCCCCGCCTCTGCTCGCGCCCTCTCGGCCATGGCTCAGGGCTCCGCCCGCCGGATCGGCAACTACCTGAAGCATGGCTTCTCATGCCCCCCTGCGCCCCGCGGTGAGCGAGGCCAAGATCTTGGCCAGGTGGCCGCGCGCTACCCCCTGCCGCCCGCGCCCGCCCAAGGACAAAGATAGAAGGATCATCTTCAGGTGTCGCGAGGCCCCGGGCGTCGTGTGGGCATACATCGACGACAACAACGGCGGGGGGCAGTGGCGCTGGCTCTGCGACGAGTGCGGCAAAACGGTCAACGAACCTGGGTACTCCACGTCAACCGAGCACATGAGACAGCGAAAGCAGACGCAGATCGACAAGCACATGGACGGCTACAAACCCCACGGACTACCTGATCCCCAAAGCTTCATAATGGGAGGCGACCCGTGGAACATGACGAGGGGCATGGACACATCGGAGATCAAGAGGACACCATGCCCAGGCTGGTGCTGGGACTGGGAGTGCGACGCAAAGAATTCCCCCATCGACCCATGTGTTTACGGGGGCGACTGGGACGCGATACCGATCGGATTTCCTATGCAGTACGACGGGCCAGGGTACTCACCCCCGCTCGGGATGGCGATCAGCAATGACAATGTACAGCAGCCCTGGGCCAAGAGCAACCGCCCACAACAAACGCAAGAGCAACTACTCCACAGCGCCGGACAGGCACTGGCCGGCTTCTTGGCCACGAGGGGCACATCCAACCCGACCTCAGGACAACTCGGCAACGCGACTCCCGCCCCGCACCGCTGGCTCAGCCTGTCTTCCCTGGACCCCCAGCATGGACACCAACCCCTGGCCGCCCTGACCAGCGCGGGGGACGCGCCGGCGACGCCGCAGCACCCTACGCGACCGGGCTACCGGCCCCTGCGCCCCCTGGGGCACCCGCCATCGAAGGACGCCACATACAGCTCGCCAGGAACGCCGAGGAGCTCTACATCACTCCCTGGTACATGGTCCCATACGGATCGGCAGCGCGGCCCTGCCTTGGACCGGTCCTTGGAGCGGTCGCGCTACCCCGCGACTGGGCTCGGCGTGTGCAGCTACACGGACAAGAGCTCAGGAGAGTCTTCTTCACCGAATTCTACGCGGACGCCACCTGACGACGGCGCCACCCTGGCTCGGCAGGCCATCGCTAGTAAGACTACCTGCGCCCAAGACGCGCGGATCCCCACCTGTTCCCAGCCCGACGAGCAGCGCCAGGAGATCTTAGATAGGCACCACCTACAGGACAGGCTCAAAGGGCAACAGCAGGAACTCAGCGAGTACTACCTAATGGTTTGGGGCACCAAGTGGGCCATGGAATGGGCGGAGCGCGACATGGCAGCAGGCGCCAAAAAACACTTTCCTCATCTCCAAGTCCTCGCCAACAATGGATTTCTGGGCAGAAATGGCGCATGTCTGGCCCCCAGCCCCCGGTTCCACGGTCTCGGGCACTGACCGAGACTGCCCTGCGGGAATCGCGCTGGCCCACTACGACGCCAAGAGAAACGGCCCCTTTCCACGATGCCGACGACACAGCCACAAGGCCCCACCCTGGACAGGCATACTACAGGGTTCATCGCACCACGAGGAAGACCCAATTTAACAAGGTCAACGCGGCGATACGGGAGTTCTTGTCAATCGGATGCGAAAAGGCGGTTCTCTGGGGCACCGCCCCCCCGCCCATCGCATGGACGCTTGTCTCCCGACACGAGGACTACGACAACGAGGCCAGAGCCCTGGCCGTGCCAGCCCAGGGAGAAGCGGAAGACCTCGTGCTGGCGCAGGCCTCGGTGACCATGGGGCGCATTATCGGCGACCCCGACCAAACCCGTGCCAACCCACGTACCAGCGCACCTGCACTGGCGCCGCAACTGGCGCAGGAGTCCCCAGGCGTCGTTTTCTGGCGACCATTGCCAGCCCCGAAGGAAGAACAACTTACGCGCATCTGTGAACTGCGCCGCGCCAACGACGCGCAGCGACGCTGCGTGCTAGCGACGCAGAACGCCCCACTCACCCTCTGCCACGGACCTCCCGGGACTGGGAAGACCAAAGTCGCAGCATGCGTGGCGGACGCGCGCATGTCCTGCCCCCCCCCAGGCGAGGAGTAGGCTGCTTCGGCGGCCCCAGCGGATCCATGGACAACCTGGCAATGCAGATCGGGAAGAACCTGAGCCCTGACAACAAGGACCTGCACCCGCGCATGGCAGCGCGCCTCGCGCGTGAGGACAAGGCAGAAGGGCAGCGTGGCCAAATCGATCACCCCTGCGGCAAAGTACGCCAGCGTGCACAACGTATCTGAGGACGACGTCACCACGGGCCATGCAAACTGGCCCCGCAAGTTTCGAACGGAAGTCGCTACCGAGGCGAAACTCATCTTGGCCACGCACGAAGCGGGAGCCGACCTCCGAGAGAAGAAGCTCCTCATATGTATCCTCGACGAGGCAGGACAGACGTCCGAGCCCATGGCCATCGTGTCCCTGGACCACGCCGTCAGGTGCGGAGCCGGGATGGTTCTCTTCGGCGACGAGCTGCAGCTGTGCCCAACGGTCAAATCCCAGCAGGCACCCCAGCGGGGGAGGTGTCTCCATCCTCGCCAAGTACGTAGCAGCCATAGGGGACATCCCCGAGTGCAACTCCAAGTTGGAAGAGTGCTATCGGATCCATCCATCCCTGCTCGCGTGGCCATCGCTCGCGTTCTACGGGGGCCGACTGATCTCCGCCATCCTGGACCCCTTGCAGCAGCGGCCATGCGCCGAAGGACTGGAGCGGCCACTCGCGCGACCGCTGTCCGACCAGGAGAACGAAGCAGCGAAGTGTGAGGGCGCCAGCTACGAGCCGGAAGACTTCCTGATCGACACCACAGGCGGATTCAGGAGCAAGGCAGCTTGCGTGGCCCCGAATGGGAGCAGCGTCTCCGGCCACGACCGGCATCGCTTCGTGCTCGCCCAAATCCCCTTGCAAGAGGTGCAGTCCAAGTTCCAGGACGGTTGCGCGAACATCCACGAAGCGTGCGCGGTGGTGGCGCTGGTGAGCGCCCTCGAACCTTGGGCGAGACGGACCAAGAGCACCATCCTCATCCCGTCGCCCTACAAGCTCCAGCTGACCCCCGTGCTTGCTGGCAACCCGTGCTCACTCCACGACATCAGTTGTTGCTCGCGGGCGGCGCAAGGGGGCGGCCCCGACAGGACCAATGCCCCCAGCTCCCTACGACAACAAGGACGGGACAGCTCCACCTCTTCTCGCGCCAGAGGGCCTACGGGAGGGGCGTGGATCAATCGCGCCACGCCGGCGAACGGCCCGAGTGAGCGCTTCAGCGGGATCGCAGAGCTCTCTCCCGGACACCTGGAGAGCGAGGCGATCCGGGTCACCGCCGTCGGCGCCGCACAAGGGCGAGAAGCCAACTCCATGCTAAACTGGGGCCACGTCGACGACCGGCACCGCGTCAACGCGGGGCTGACACGTCCGCAGTGCAACCTCATTATGACGGCCGACGCAAGGATGTTCCGCACCGCCACAGACGCTGCACTCCATCACCTGAGCACCTGGGCCCGGAGGGCGGGTCTTGCCTTCGAATTCCACATGCATCGCGATGGAAGTCTAAGTCAGACCGAGGCCGACCCAAAGGTTTTCATGGACGAAATACCCGAATCAACCAACCCTGATGAAAAGGCCAGGCTCGCGGCGGAGGCCGAGCGCAGACGGGGGGGGAAGGAAGCAATCAAGGCGCGGCAGGCTCAGCGGGCCGGCTTTGCAGCACGCGCCGATCTACCACTCCCTGCCGACCATAGCTGGAAGGACCTCGGGGGCGACGTCGACGTGGCAACGGCCAGGCTTCTGGGCTGCGCGGCACTTGGGCCGCGCCTGCTATGGTGCCTCGGGCTGCGCCCGCACCGGCGCGGCGTCGCGGACCAGCCAGCTGATCCCAGCCTTCAGGACAGAAAGGGATGGAGCATGCACGCGCACCTCTTCTACTGCTCGGCGCTGGTAGGACTGGACGTCGGCAACCTGGTCTACGCTGCGGTCTTCGCGACCATCACGCGGGCGATAGGACTGAGTCGCCGACGAAGACAGCGCGCAAGCACTCGACCCCAACCTGATCCCAGCCCGAAGGAATCGACCGAACATGCGGGCAGCGTGGCATATCAAGGAGACCTGCATCCCCACCGAAGCCCCCAGGCGCAGACCCAAATGCTGGCACCCAACTACCTGCAAGTGCCAGATGCACAAGGAGCCACCCACAACGGCCGTGCCCCACGCCTTCTGCAACATGAGTCCAAAAGAAAGCCCAGCTGCTGTTGTCAACAGCCTACGGGACAGCACCGGCGCGACCCTGGATGGCATCCAGGCCAGGATCCTCCTCGCCCTGTCCCTGCTTATACAGCGCGAACCACGTGCCTGTCTGTGCCCGTGCGGGGGCGCCGAGGGCATCGGGGACGTGCTCGAGGCCATCCTCGGCCTGCGCGAGCCGCACCGCCCGCGCGACAAGACTGCTCGCGACCACCTGGGCGCGTTGTTCGGGCTCCAGGGGAAGCACTTCAAGCAGCTGCACTCTGCGCTGGGGCTCCTCATCACAGCGGTGCCCCGCTCAGTCACGGTCGCCCACCACCACCCCCTGGCCAAGAGGGCGAACTGCCCCGCGACCGGGGAGGGCCCAATGGCTAAGAAATTCCCGCTCCAGGCCACCCTCGCAGTCATCGAGGGCATCGTGTCCCCAGTCAACCTGTCAGACTTGGAAGTCCACGAGCGCGCAGCATGCGCGCTCTACGTCGACGCGATCGGATCCGACATCGGCCTCGCCCACGACCCGACCACGCAGGCAAGCAGCGGCACCTGGATAGGTGGAGGATGCTCCTACACGCGCCTGCACCTGGACGCACCGGCCCCTCTTGGGCCACGCCCTGGCGTGACACTAAGGCCCCCATGGTTAAATTGCCGAGACACCAGGTTGAGGAAGGACCAGTATTAGGCCGATTTCTACTGTCAAGGATGCCTGCGCGGCCCCTTCAAGCACGATGCAGGCGCATACGTCAGCAAACGAATCCGCCAGACCATCAGCAGCAACAGGCTGACGGAATACTACCAGGCGAAAGCTTGGCTTGCATATGCTGCTGGACTACGAAGGCAATGGCCGAGCGGCAGCCCATTCCAGACGACGTGGATTTCAAGAGCTGGATCAACGACCGCCCCGACGACATGCCTGTCCGCGCAACGCGTGCCCTTTCCAGGGCTGTGTCCGACGCCCTTGCGCGCGGCCCTGACGCCCCTGGACCAGCTACTGGTCCCACCGGAAGGCGACCTGAACCCCCTCAATGCGGGAACCACCCTCCCAGCCAGCATCGCGAACGACGACCGCCTGATCAGCCAATTCAGGGGAATGTCGGCATCTGGAGATGTGGCGGATGCCCCTCTGGCACGGAGGGACACAGGCGGGGGCCAGGACAGGCCTACCCAGGCATGCACGGGCACGCCGCGGATCCAGAAGGACTCCGCGACGGCTTCAACCTGGTCCACGGGCTCCCCCCCGTGCAGCTGATGAGGGAGATGTTCCTGGCCAAGCGCTGGCACGCGGGCTGATACTGCAAGGAATGCCCTATCCACCAACGGAACATATCCCCATCAGCCGCGAGCGAGGTACTCAGCAAATACAGCCCTGAAGCATACCCAAGAGAAGGGAACGAACCTTTCCCCGCGCTACCGGGCATCCCCGCCTCAACAGCAGAGGGCGCAGCACGCTCCAGCCCAGAGGAGACGCGGCGACGCGCAGCCGCCTGGGACGAGGCTGAGCGCAGCTACTACGGCCGCCACGCCTCTGCACTGCCACCCCCCTTCCGGGATCCCGACGCCGCTGCCTCCGCCCAGCCACCCACTGGAAGCACAACAGCCAGCGGGCTCAACAGCACGCCAACCCACGGGCGGGCGTGCGCCCCGAGCAGACACCCAGCCCAGGTCAGCAAGGCCCACCAAGGAAAGGCGCGCGACACCAGTCCAGTCAACCAGCCCCTGCCCAACACCCACCAAACCGCCCACTAACGGCGGCGATTCGCCCATTACCCCTTCACTTCCACCCACACCGCGTGGCGACGAGCCGACCCCAGCCCAGCCGGTCACGCGACCCACGGCCACCAAGTCCGGCGGGGCGCCGCCACCCGTCGGCCCGACACCTGAACCCCTCGGGAGGTGTGCAGAACACGGCAGTCACGAAGTGCAGCAGGGGCAGGTCCCGGACACGCCCATCTTGGGCTCCCTGTGCCCAGCTGCCACGGACAACCAATGCATCCAGTGCGGCGACTACGTGGTCATCAGGGGTGACTCCCTTCCCCGCGCCAGGTGGTTCAGCACTGCGGACTGCGCAGAGCCCCATCACGACACAGCCCCTGGATGGAGCCGTCTTCGGACCCGTCCTCCGCATCATGACCCGTGAGCAGGACGCGCGGGCGCTGCTCGTCCAGATCGGCGGCGAGTGGCTGGAAGTGCGAGGCGTCGGCGACAGGACGCTACGCGTATACGTCCTCCGTGGAGACGCAGCGCTCCGCGCAGCTATCTTTGTGGAGAGTGCCCAAGGCAAGGTAAACAGAAAGCAAGCAACAGCGGTCCTCGACAACCCCTCGGGAGGCGTCGACACCACGGGAGACAAAGCGGCGTCCGCAGGACACATGCAGGACAGGCCCCAGCCTGAGCCCTACCCGCAGCAATCCAGCACACAGAACCCCACCCACGAACCTGCACCCCTCATGTCCCCTTAAGGAGGAAGACCCTGACTGGGGCAACGAAGACCAGGCTAAAGAGGAGAAGCTGCGCCTCGCCGAGGCCCTGAGTGAGGTCCACCCCGTCTCCTCGTCCTCCGACTCGGGCACAATTGAAGAGCACCAAGCCAAGACGAGTCCTCAGAGCGAGCGGCACGCCACCCCCGAGATCGACCCCCGCAGTACCGACCAGAGGGCTGCCCGCGCAGCCGCCGAGCCAATCCTGCGCCCCGAGGCCGTGGCCGACGATCGGAACCTGCACACGCGGGACCGCTCCAGGGGCCCGGAGGACCCACGACCTGCGCTCACCCCTCTCTCTGCGCACCTCGCAGAGCGCCCGCGCGGCAGGGTGCGGGAACCAGTCGCATGGGAGATGTACACGACGGCGGTGAGGCGCGAGTCCAGAGAGGACGACCGGCCACGCGCAGGAGAGCGAGACCGCGACCGCGACCGCGACCGCAACCTGAGCGCGTCGGGGGCACCGTGGCGCAAACATGACGCCAAGGACTGGGACACAACCAAGGAGCGCTACTGGGACCAGACCCACGACACTGGCTGGGGCTCAGGTGGCGCACCCTGGCGCCAGCCAGAATCGCCGGGCTCTCACTACAAGGACGACTGCAGCCACACCGACACCAGCCGGACACGCGCCACCTTCCGCGTTGGATGGCAGCGCCTCCCAAACGAGACAGCAGTAACACACCTGAACAGGTTGCGAACAGAAGGGGGTACCACTTTAACGTGGCCTAGCATTCGTGGTGCAGGCACGTGTACAAGGAGCAGGGCAAGGGCAAATCCAACGACCAGGCGCCCTTCGACCCACGCCGCTGGCAGCAGTGGATCATCGACAAATTCCTGGATGACGTGAGCGCCAACAACTACCACGTGGACCGATGGTCCAGCAGTGCAGGTGTCTACGTGGACTGGGAGCGGGAGCAGAAGCTCTATCAGGAGGTGGAGAGGAAAAGGGAGGTCGCTAAGGGTGACGGGCGCGACGGGGACCAAGCCCGCAGTTCCGGGTACCACGACATCTGGACTGGAAAGCGCCCGCGGCGCTGACTGTCGTCGGCCCTACCACACCTGCCCCAAAGCACCACTGCCTAACTGGCAGCCACTCCCACTACCTGCGCCCCGTCCCCGATCCACACCCCCACCTGACACCCGGCTGGGGACCGCGTGTCCTTCTCCCCCCCTTTACCTGCACCCTTCTCGCCCTTGTGGCGCCCACGGTCCACGTGCTGGCTACCCACCCTTCCACCTGGACCCCGTCCTCTCCTCCTCCTCCCCTCCTTCTCTCCCGTTCCCAAAGGATCTGGGGCTCTGTGTTGTACCTGTACCCATCGGCTGATTGAGATTCAAGGACCTGGGACTCTGTGCCCCCCCTGTACCCATCGGCTGTTTCCAAAGGATCTGGGACTCTGTGTCCTACCTGTACCCATCGGCTGATCGTGATTCGAAGATCTGGGAATCTGTGTGCCCTCTGTACCCATCGGTCGAACGAGATTCACTGATCTGGGTCTCTGTGTCCCCCCTGTACCCACCTGCGACGCATTGGTGCGCCAGCGACGTGCGTGACACGCCCGCGCTGGGGCCTCGGGTCTTACCTGTATGCATTGGGGCGTGTCCCCACGTGAGCACCTCGGTGCATGCTGGCGGGACTCTGGCTGGCGTGGGACGCTGGCCTTTCTCCTCCCTGTTCGCTTCTTCCTTCCCCGCTCGCTGCCCCCCCCTCCCATGGCGGCGGCGCCCGGCACAGCGCGGCTCCGGCCCGGTGCTGGCACTGCACCTTGCCGCCTCGGCGGCCCCGCTCACCCTGGGCAGCGCGGCTCAGGCTCGGCCCGCGGCAGGCGGACACAGACGGCCCTTCAGGCCGAACCTCTTGGCTGCTACCTGGACGTGGATTGGATTACCACCACAAGCCGATACCGACCACCCGCTGGCACAACGTTGCAAATCGCCTTCGTGGTCCTCCTCATCTCCTGGGCCTCTCCTTACCAGCTGGTGGCACCTGGTGCACTTCGCCAACCTGGTCTTCCTCTACATCACGGGCATCGACCTGGTCACGGCCCTCCCCACGCAGCACTCGAGGATGTTGATTCTGGCGCGCCGTTGACGGCAACACCACGTCGCTCTCCCTCCGGAACTTCGCCTCCGGCTCCTGTCCAAGGCGTACCTTTTCCTGTGCAAGCTCTTCGGCACCGCCTGCAACCCGCACCCTCCGGCCGCCTGAGGCCCCGCCCGCCCGCGCCCTGTCTCCCCAATTAATACTTTGCGCGCCCCGCCTAGCTCTTAACCGGAAGAGGCCCGCTCTCGACCCGCTGACCAAAAAAAAAGTGTTTCACGACGGGGACCCCTGGAGGTCTAGACCCTGCCCTGGGGCAGGATTTTCATCCTGAGTCGTTTTTTGACGCTCTGGGGGTCCGGCGAGGGCCCTTGGAGGCCGGAAGTTGTTCAAAACCTCCTGTCGTGGCTCTTTCTGCAACGAGAAGAAAGGAAGTGGAAGTCAGGCCATCCCTCCAGCCTAGGAAGCCCCCAGCGCCGGTGACGGCCACCGGGCCGTCGCCCGCGCAGACGGGCGGCATGGCTGGGGCCGCCGGGAGGCCACCACGGCAGCCGCGCCGCAGTCGTGCACGCCTCCCTCTATGCGCAACGGGCGGGCCACCTGAGTTCGGCGGCGCGCCCAGGGGGAAGGGAGAGGAGGCGGACCTTCCCAGAAAGTTCAGAAGGCCTCTGGCCGGCCTTCTGAGAGGCTGTCTAAGCCTCCTCCAAAGCCACGGAGGTCTCCTCAGAAGGCCAGATGGCTCGTGACAAGCCCCGCCGCCTTCTCAAGAGTAGGCTCCTCTCACTCCCCCGCCCCCCCCGGCGCGTCGCCGATTACTAGAGTAGGTACATGAGATATTGAGTCTGGAGGTGAGAAATTCGTCGGTCTTCGAGTTTCGTAGAACCTCCCCACAGCTTCTGTGAGCCCCAGGGTCATTGTTGGATGCGAGAAATCAGTGGGGCACCTGCTGACAGACTGGCTGCTAGTTTCATGCGCCTAGTGTATAGGGCGAACAATCCACCCTCATAACACGCAGTCCCACAGGCGCAACCGTGTGGCAAACGCACCGAAGAGAGGAGACGATCATTGTAGGACTATTCTGGCAAACGCCCAGAAGTGTGTAATAAGCGCCAGCCATGGGGTCGGAGTGGCTTACCTCCCTGGTTCGACGATCTGTTTTTCAATCGCGGCGTTCTTCTGTAACTTCGGCCTCCTGGGGCAACTTTCAGACACCGCGGGCCCTCAGAAACAGACCTGGGACGACGAGGGGAAGGGGATGATACCTCTCGAGCGCGGGTTGAAATTTCACGTCGTCGGATGTCTGGGAACCCAGCGATGACGTCACGACAACATTAATCCTGCACATTTGCGACTGGGATCCCACAACCCACCTTTCTGCAGCACTTCTGAAGCTGAGATCGGGATGCGAGGGCCCCAGGGTCCGAACCAGCGCAAAACGCGCCCATTGTGAAAAAGATCGCGACTCCAGGATCTCAGGGGGGTGCGCATGGAGGCCTCCCAAAGTGGGCCCCAGCAGATGGGGTCGGAGGATCGTGCCACATCGCCAATGCATCGCCGATGCATCGGCGACGTCGGCGATGAATCGGCGCCGTCGGTGTGCAGAACATCTGGCTCCGCAGCTAGCCGCATCGCCGACCTCCGACCCCATCCGCTCCAGCCCCGTTTAGGAGGCGTGGAGCGCAGGCCTCTTCACATGCTCAGGCTGCGCCGCAACCGGCGAGCGGACCCGCTGCTCCACGGACCTCTCCCGGGGTGCGTTCTGGCCAGAATTTCGAGGAGGCTCCAGGCGACGAGGGCTCTCCAGGAACGAGCAGCGGTGTACCGGTATCCCTGTCCTCCTCCAAGGAGCGGCCGGCGGCGGCGGCCAGGTCAACGACTGGCCCCTGCGGCCCCGCAGGGGCTGCGGCATCCCGCGCGGCGGCTCCCGCGCAGGCGGCTCTGGGGCCGTGGCCCTGGAGGGCGGGGCGCGGTTCGGGCCCAGCTCGGCAGCCGGAGCCCAGCGGTCGTTGGGCGTGGCTGCGGCCAGGCCCCATTGGCTGCGGCGAGGCCCCTGGGTCCCAGGTCTCCGACGGCATGATCTTCAAGGTCAGGGAGTTGTGGTTCGGTGTCGGCCTCTGGGGCCTGCTTTCTGGCCCTGCAAGGCCGAAAAAAAACGAATCCGAGGCAAAAACCTGCCAGGTCAGCCCCGCATCGAATCGGGAGGTCGTGATCGCAACGCCTGTCGCTGCGAATCACCAGCGAATCGAAGCGGGAACCGGATCGCGAACGACCAAATCGAATCACGAAGAGGATCGCGATCCGGTCGTATCAAATCCGCCCCCGAAGTCTCGACTTCTCCCATGGCCCTGGGAGAGGGGTCGGGACCTCTGGGGCCGCGCATGGTAGGATGTCTTGGGTGGCCGCGATGAGTGGCTGCAGCGAAGGCCCATCGATCGCCGGCGCGACGCGAGGGACGACCCGGATCCTCCAGGGTGCAGGCGACCCTCGAGGGTCGAGGGGGAAGGTTTCTGGACGTTTCTCGCCCTCGTCGGGCCTCTGCTGGGGGCCCTCCAGGGGTCAGGCTTCGGGGCGGGAGCAAAGCTTGCCACCTCTTGCTGCCAGGGCGCAGCCCTCCTCGGCGCGGCGCTGTTGCTCGCGTGGAGAAGGGGGGGCTCCTTCCTCCTAAGCCACGGGCCGAGGGGGGGAGGGCCCACCCGTGCGACTGGGGCCCGTCGTCGCCCCACTCGTGCCGCGGGCCGCCCCCACGGCCTGGGCTCAGGCGCGCCGCCCCTCCGAGGCGGCGGCCGCGGTGTAGGAGGCAGCTCCCGCTGCGCCCAGGAGGCCCCGCGAGGCGCCAGGGCGAACCAGCCTGGCACAGGCGCCTGCGCTCGGCGCGGGCAGCCGCGAGGACCCTCCGTAGGGTTGCCTCAACGCGGACTGTCCTCAGCAGTCACCACAGCGCCCAGCAGCTGCAGCAGCAGCCCCAGCACCAGCCCCAGCACCAGCAGCAGTCCCAGTACCAACAGCAGCAGCAGCAGCAGCCCCAGTACCAACAGCAGTCACACGACTTCGTGATGGCGCAGTCCTGGCCCGTTGGGGCACAACCATTGCCGTGGAGGTCGCAGACGCGTGGAAGGTCGAAGACCAATCACTACTACCAGAAGAACTACAGCTACCAGAAGAGCAACAACGACCAGAACCCGTACCGCAGACCGACGAGATCGGCTTCGGCGAGGTCAACATCCAGACAGCCAAAGGGAAAACACAAGGGGGCAGAGGAAAGATGGGCAAAAGGGTCCCTATCCGCTGCTCGCCCTGGTTTTTCCAAGGAGGTGGAGTTCACGAAGAGGCAAAATGATATCATCGCAGACGTCCACCCCGCGACCATCCAGGACGCCAGGCAGCACGAGAGCTTCGGCAACCCGCCCTCGGAGAACGATCGCGAGATGATGATGATGATGATGATGATGATGATGATGATGATGATGATGATGATGATGATGATGATGATGATGATGATGATGCTGATGTGGATCCACACGAAGCGCAGCCGTATGACTCGTCTGGCGGACCAGCTATGGGGCGCACGTGCAGCTGGGGTGGAGGACCGAAAGTTGGTCGAAAAGCTTGCGGTCACGAAGTGCATGTACATGCTCACCCGCCCTGTTCACGAACGGCTAAGAACATTTCGTGATGAACTGGAAGCGCGACTAGGCCAAAAGAAAGACATCGCTAAGCAGAAGCAGCAGTTGATCAACAACGAGCTTGCGATCGAGGCCAAGATCAAGAGCCTCAACGCCCTCATCCAAGAAGCGAAGCACGACATGAATAGCGTCGGGGACAACTATGACACGAGCTGCGACGCCGACGATTCCACAGAAGGAGAGCAAGAACGTCGCGCCCAAAGACAACATGGGTCAAGAGGCAGAACCCCGCACCCGAGACATCGAGAACATAATTAAAAACGAGAACAGTAGCGCCGACGACCACAAAGAGCAAAGCGAGCATCAAGCCAGAGCCCACGATCAAAAGCCTACATACCAGCAACGATCCCATGCCAAGGACGACGCCCTGGACTTGCGCAACCTAATCGCAGACCTGGCCAAGAAGGTAGAACACCAGCAGCAGCACACAGGCGTCCATCAGCACCACCTCGCCTTCTTCCACCAAGAGCAGCAGATCAGCCAGCAAAAGGAGAAGCAGCAGGCGGAGCACCGCGAGGAGATCAAAGTAATGCATGAGAGAATGGAAACGATGCGCAAGGACTTCGCAAACTAGCAACATGCAGCTCGCAGAGAATGCTATGAGACACGAACTACAGCAACACGAACAACGCTTCCAAGAGCAACTTCAAGTGGACAGAGCCCTTGCGCAAAGGAGGATCGACACTCCGGAAAACAAGCTAAAGAAAATCCAAGAAGCACTTCAGAAAGAATTGGACTCCGAGAAGCTCGCCCTGGACACGCAGAAGGCCCAGCACCAGCAGGACTACAACAACGCGCAACAACGACTACGTCAAGTCGAACACGCCAGACAAGAAGAAGCGGCATGCGCCTACAACCTGCTCAGGGAGTACGAACAGAAGAGTCAACAACAACACGACTACACCAAGCAGGAGCAGCAGAAACATCTCGCAATCGCTCATACCAATGCCGTCTCTGAGCAAAACACCCTCCGACGCGCTAAAGAACTACGACTTGAAGAATACGGAAAATTACAAGCGCAGCAGCACAAGACATACAGGGCACAATACGAGTACAACCCGGTTAGCGCCTTGCTACGACACGCAGAACAACAGATGAACGCTCATTTCGCGATCAACATCCAGCTGATCGAAGAGAAGTTCCTGAAGGAACGGGTACAACTACAAGCCGGATTACGTCAAGCTGAAGATCGAGAAAACAGGCATCGACATCGACCTCTTGAGAGAACTCGACACCCAGACGAGTGAGCGCGATGAGGAGGAGACGATAAGGCAAGCCATGGCTGACTCGGAGCAGAAGCGCATTGACCACGATATGGAGGGCGCAATGTGGTCAATCCTACCAGGACAATACGAACAACCCACCCAAGACGTCGACGCCTGCATCCAGCAGCTCAGGATCATGGGGCAGAGAGAAGATACTAATACCAGCACAATCGACGCAGGAGCTTGGAGCTCGCAAGACTTGGGAACGTCCCCGGACCCTCCGCCCCCTCACCCGCTAACCACACCACAGCCGATGTGCCCAAAGACCCCCGCCGACCGTGCAAGACGACCCGTCCATGGCCAATGGGAACAACGATCCGCAGAGGACCTCGCAGCCTTCGCGCAGGGGCTCGCTGGGTCGTCGAGTACATTCACCGAATCAGACATCAACGAAATCACCGCAGCGACCGACTGCGACCAACGCATAACGGGGATGACAGACAAGCTACATCCAACACGATACTCGACGATACCCCCAGGGTCGCCACATCCAACGCACCCAGATGACGAGAGACGCTCCATCACCCCAACCCCCATTGCCGACGACGGCTACGATAACGACGAGCGACCAG